CATGGCGGCCCCGCCCCCCCAGCTTCGCGGGGCCGTGTGGGAGCTGTAGTTCCGCGGGGGCGCGGGCGCATCGCCGCCGCCGCTGCTCCGCCGCTCCGGCCGCTCCGCGCGGGGCCATGGCCGCCCGCTCCCTGCGGCGCCTCGGGGCGCTGCTGCCCGCGGCCGGCGAGCCCGGCACCGGCAGGTACGTGGGGCCGGGCCGGGGGGACGGGGGCGGCCCGGAGCCGCGGGGTGCCGGGGACAGACGTGGCAGCGCCGCGGGGCCGGGCCCGGGCGGGCGCCGCGCCGGGGGCGGGAACGGCAGCGGATCCACGCCGGGACCCAGACCCCAACCACGGCCCGGACCCAGACCCCAACCACGGCCCGAACCCACACCGGGACCCAGACCCCAACCACGGCCCTGGCCCGGACCTGGACCCCGACCCCAACCACGGCCCGGACCCAGACCCCAACCACGGCCCGAGCCCACACCCGGACCCAGACCCCAACCACGGCCCGAGCCCACACCCGGACCCAGACCCCAACCACGGCCCGAGCCCGGACCTGGACCCCGACCCGAACCCTGTCGCTCTCCATCATCTCCCCATCTCACTCCCGAAACGCCACGCTGCCGTTCTGCTCTCCTCAAAATACCCTGGAGCAGAAATAAACCTCCATAACCAAGTTCTTTTCCCAAAATATATTTTTTTTAAGTGTTCATTTTTAAGGCAAAGCGTTCCCGCGCTCGCTAAGTCACGTTGGGAGATGGTTTCCTGCCTCTGTGTCTCGCCCGGCTGAACCATTTGTTCATTAATTTATTCATTAATTATTCAGGTTTAATGTGCTCCTCAGGTTTTGTTTCTGGTGGTGAGGCAGCACATGTGCTATCAGTGTGTTTTGGGTGGTCGCGGGAAGAGAATCCATTTAATTGTGTCAATATTTCGACAGAGGAACTGTGTCCACTGATGCTTGTTTTTTACATCATGGAATATGGCTTAGAAAAGAGAAATCCATAAAGGTGCTTGGGTTATTTGAGTGAAGTGTGGGCAGGTGAAAAGAAAAACCGCTAAAATGCCTGTTAATTATTTTTTTGTCTAGGAGAGAAACACCACTAAAAGACTGTTTAAATTATAACAACTCTGCAGCACGTAGTAGATGCAGCTGTATTTGGGACTAAATGTAGATGCATGTCAGGAAATTCTCGCTCTTGCGTGGGTGAAAACTGCTTTGTCCCCCTGCAAAATGTGCAGTGAGGCTTTCACCGTTCGTGTCCCTCCTTTGGACACTCTCTAAGAGCTTTAGGTGTTTTTTACATCCTGGCACCCAAAACTGCCCCAGTTCTCGAGGTGAGGCCACCGCAGAGCGGGACAATCCCTCCTTGCGCTGCATTATCTCCGGAGGCACTCCCTGATGAAACAGCGCCCAGGAATTGGGAGTAATTAGATTTCCTTCCAAAGGCGGCTCATCAGAGCTGCAACCAGTGCAGATGTTTCTGTGTGTCTCAGCACTCGAGAGCTTTGTCATGCTGATTTGGGAGGAGGAGGGAGTGTTCCAGGAGGGTGGAGAAGGACCCTTGATTGTCACTTTGGAATGGTCGGGAGCTGCAGAAAGAGGTGATACCATTGTCGCTCTGACCAGAAACCCTCTCTCCTCACTGAAATATTAATCTTGAAGGACAATTGGCTTAAGCCATATGGCTGAAATCAACTTCTCTGCTCTTTCTTATCTCTTTGGCTTTCTGTGACACGGCTTTGTAAATCTTTCTGTGACACTAACTTGTGTAACCTCCTTCGCACGCCCTGCGACTTCCACGTGTCTGTCACTTCAGGATGTGTCAGCTTCCTCCCGTGGGATCCATGCCTATTTTTAGGGTAGTTGCGATCAAACCAGCCTATAGAAGATGGAGCTTGGTCAGTGGACAGCCTGTAAATAGCTCCTGCCACTTGTTGGGGAGAATTCTTTTCATCCTGAAGCAAGGAGTAAATTGAGTGGCATTTTCACCCCCGCATAACCGACCTGAAGAATTCCCTTTGGAGTCAGGCTGGGATTTCTTGGCCATAACTTTTCCAGGCAGCATGTGGCTGCCAGGGCATGTCCTTGCAGGGGTGAGCACTCTGGGATTTGGGATTTGGGTTCAGAAGCTGCAGAGGAGTCCATGCAGGCAGCTCCCTGCTCCACGTAGGCAGCTGGGACCGGCTCCTCCATGCCCCTCTCCCACGCAAAACACACCCATCTCTGCCAGTAACCACCGGCAGAGACAAAAACCTCTCCAGCTTTGGCATCTTGGGTGCCGAGGAGTTAACTGAGCTGCACAGCCTATTTTT